AAAAAACAACATTATTCCATCCTTGAATTCCAATTTTTATGCGAACTGTCCCTTTTTATGTACTGTACATACTGCCTTTCATATCTAATTTCACGCAAAAATTAAACATTTTCCTAATTTTACCTGTGTGATGCATGTAAATAAGGCAGAATATGGAAGAGAAACTCTCACAACCACAGCAATCTTTGGGAAACCCACCCACCTATTTTCTATCCAACACAGGGTCACGGGGTAGCAGGAGCCTGTCCTGGCCAGCGAGGTGGGATACATCCCGGACAGGACACCGGTCCATCGCAGGGCACACAGACTCTTACAAGCCAGTTAACCCTTGAGCATGTGTTCGGGGAAATCCTGGAGCACCCAGCAAAACCCCACACGAACACAGGGAGAACATGGAAACTCCACACGGATACCGTAGCACTCCAGGAATTTAACCTGAGGATCCAGCACTGCGAGGCAGTGATGCAGACCACTGTGTCACTATGCTGCCCCCTTTGAAAACCCCCAAAACCTTTGACATCTTTAACCTCTAAAGTCATCATGTACTGTATATTGACTTTCACTAATTGATTTTTACACAGATTGACATGGACAAACACTGCTCTCCTACAATTTATAATCCTTTCCTCTCCAGGTGATGGGAATTTGTTTTTTCCTCAGAAAAACAGTTATTTCTTTGCCTCAGAAAGATATGCTGAACTTGTAGCATGTCGCGTGGTTCCTGGGATTGGTGGGCAGCAAGAAACATCACACGCATTAACAGTTGTGGGTGGGGTCACTTGTTATGTTCAAATTCTGATGCTCAGTTTATAATTTTGTTAATTTGGGGAATGACATGATAAAAGTTGGGGTTATCAATCAAGCTAGTGTATGAGAGGAACAATATGGCAGCTAGAGCCAGACTAGTGTAAAAAAAGAGTATATGTAGCGAGTTCACTGTTCTCTGATCTCCTTGACCACTTAAATAACCAGCTGGAAATTATGAAATGAGTGCTGGAAATTATGAAATGCTGACAAAAAAGGACCCTGTACAGGGTTCAAGTTACCTTATTCCCCAAACAGTAGCAGGAAGTCCAAATAGAAGGCTACCAAAAACGAAACAAGCCCTAATATCCAAAATCCAAAGGGCTGGCGAAAGTGGAGACTGGGCAGAGAGAACACAGCGAAGCAACCAATCCAAAAAGGTGCCAAGGCAGAAACGTGGTCGGTAACTAGCGAGAGAGCCAGGAAGTAAGGGAGAGAGCAAGCTTTTGAGCGAGGGTTCGCGCACCGGGGAGCTCCAAGGAGAATCCGAACTAGTGAGCGGTGGTCGGGGCGAAGAGGAGGGTTGAAGTAGTAACACAGGAGATAAAGGCGATAGGAAGATGAGTTGCGGCATGAGCGTCTGTTTGAGTGGGTGCGTGTGGGAATGTCACGGCGTTTGTGAGAGTGCACGGAACGGGGGACGGAGAGATTGTGCCACCTCCTCTATTGTATTGTAGTTCAACAGGAACAGTACATCAGCCCTTGATCCTCTTCTTCACAGCGCAGAAAGTCGTGGCATGCACTATTCACTTCTGTAGCACAGACATCACTTTTTCTATCTGCACAGCCAGGAAAAGCAGTAGAATTGACTAATCACTCCAATACCACAAACGTGACCCTTTAATGCAACGTACCCCACTACTTTTCCACAGCCAAAAGTAAGGATGAATATACATGACTCATATCATACAACAAACGAATAAAGCAGCTTTGAGTAACAAAGATAGGTCTTAAAGTAAACATTAGTTTGTATTTTGTAATTTTGAGAACAATAGTGGCCGTTGAGCGGAAAAATGACAATGCCCAAATGAATCTTTCATTTTGATAGTCAATAAAATGCATGGCATGATGAAGTGGAAAAGTAGAAAGATCTAATGAAATGTTGAAACAAAAGGAAGAAAAAAAAACAAAAACCCTTAATCTACTATTAATCTTCTTTAGACTATCTTCAGTTTATTTTTTAGTCATGGAAAAGGATTTAAAAAGAGACTTTTGCTCTGATCGTAGCAGCATTCAGTATAAATTCAGATTATGACTGGGTCTGTTCTTCCACTTTCTGGGTCTATTTTATCTAATAAATGCAAAATCATTTTTAAAAAAAGACATATAAAAACATACATTTCTTGAGCATGTTACACATTTTCTAGGAAATAAAACCAGAATATCACAGAAACTTCAGTAAAGCTATCTTTGATTCACGAACTTAACAAATGTTGTCAAAGCTTTTTGTCTGAGAGATATCTCTCCATTCTTAGAGTAATATTAAAATACTGAAGGTGTACGTTGTCCAAAAATAAAGAAAATACAAAAGAAATGATATACAGTATTAGCAATATAGAAAGGAAAGGCATAGTTACTGTATTTTTCCACTTAACATTGTTTTGCAAAGTAACGGGAATTTACAGAATTTGAAATAGGAACATAAGAACATAACAACTGTTACAGACGAGTGGAGATCTTTCGGCCCATCTGGTTTGTTTAAATGTTGGTAGCCAATTGAGAATCCTATCCAGCTGTTTCTTGAAAAAGAAGCCAGGGCATTGGTTTCAACCACAGGGTACCCTGTTCCATACTCCAACAAATGGCTCTCGTTTTGCACTGTAGCAAGAGCTCTGAATGTAATCCAGTCCGTATTTGTGTGGGGCGTTTTACTGGCCACATTTTCCTCTGTTGATTTTTGACCCCAAACAAACCTGAAAAGGGAAACTGTTCAAGTACAGTACAGTATATACATGAGCAATGAGAATAAATAAACAGAACGAAAGACCCAGAGTCCAGGTCACATTGGTTTGTTCTTAAGAAATACCTAAGCAAAGGACAGTCATGCTTTTCCCTTCAGGGGGCTGAAGGATCCTTCTCCGAGCCAAAGAGGAAGCTCCACCCGTTTAACAGGGATCGATGGCAGAAGGGCTGGACCTGAGTTTGACCCCGAGCATGAAGAGTGCGTGTTGTGTCAGTTTCTCCTTGACCAGCAAGGCACCCAAGTTAGTCCCATGATTTCCCTTTCAGTGGCCCACAGCTGTCCTGCTTGTTTCTGATATGTGCCTGTTGGAAGCCTTTTGCTGAAGCTGTTGCTTTTTTTTCCGGTTTTAGAGATCCTGAGAAAGGGCCTCCTGTGGATGAGAAACGTAACTCCCGAATCCATCAATTAAGATGCCTTAGGAGGTACAAAAGAATAATTATCATCTGTTCCTTTTTTTCCCACTTGGCAAGCCTATGAACTGGCAGCGCTGTTGAATTTGTCCAGGACTGTTGCATTTATGTGCTGGAAAATCCATTGCTGGGTCTCAGACAGAGGGTTACATTTGTTCATGAAAATCTTCTTATCACTGGGGCTACAGTCTATGCAGCTATTGCTCACTAGGTGATACAAAGATTTATCCTGCAGCACAAGAAAATGAGAAAAAAATATTGTAACAATAAAACCAGTAATTTTTTAATCCTTTCTTATCTCATCCCAGCCCCCCGAGATTAAAGCTAGGGTAGAATTTTAGAAGTGGAACTTTTTAATCAGAAAAGTTGAGTTAATTTCATGGTAAGGGATTTAAGTTCAAAGCCTAAATCTGTTATGAAAAATGTAAACTTCACAGCACAACTGTATATAAACATGGTTTTGTTTAGCTTGTTTGCTTGTTTTCTGCAGTTTTCTAACTGTCGGAGTGGGGCAGCCTGTTATCAATATTTATTTGTACCAAGCCTCCTTGTATATGAATGTTTTGTGCTGACACAACAAACCATCTGGCAGCAGAACTGAATGTAAATATGTCTCTCTTTACTTTAAGCAGGGAAAAAGTAAACACCTTTGGACTTCACCCCTATAACACAATGATTTGGTATTGCTATATTCCAATATAAGTAGCAAACTAAAAGCAAATGCATGACCAGTTGTTTTTATAGTTAAACATTTTTTAAAACACCAATTTTATTTGAGAAATATTGTGTCATGACACCATACGTCATGCAATAGCAATCAGGCGTCACTGAGGAATTGCTTGAAATGTAATTCAGTTTTAAAATGAATAGGGGATCAGTGATTGCTAATGCTAACTGCAGAGGAGAATTTAATATAGGCAGAGAAGACAAAAACTCTAACTTGGCCATGATTATTAGCGGAAAAAAAAAAGTTGATATATTAGAAATAGATATATTTTTTATTGTACAATTGATGACATATATATATTTTATGACATTATATTTTATGATACTGTATTTCCAACCAATCACACATAGAAAGCCTTCAAGGGCAACCTCTTATAGTTCCAGTATTCAATATTTTTTTTAGAAGATATTGCAGATTGTGAGCCTTCCATCTCCCCGGAGGTAAATGAAAAAATGCACTGGAATCAGACAGCCAAATGAGGTTGGTTCCCTGTGCCAGTTGCTCTTCAGCATGTCTTCCCTATTGATGTATGGTGCTCTCATGTGACAGCTGTAGTGTGGGTCCCCTTCTCAATGCGGTTAATAATAAGATCCGGCACCGCTACAGCTGGCGGTGGCCGATCGGAGAAACGGCGGGCCCGAGCCGCCTTCCATACGGCGGGGAGCTGCCAGCGCAGCGCCTTACCTTCCTGTAGCTCCAGTGCTGGTTTCCCTTCATCCCGTGACAGTCGTACAGCGTCACGGGGCTGCTGTGGGAGACGGCGTCGAAGCAGAACTTCCTGGTGTGCAGGGGGTCCCCCGGCCTGATATCTTCTCTCCAGCCGAACGTAAAGATCTACGGACACAGCAGGACAAGATCCCGCATCGCTGTTATTTACACCGTCTTTACAACAGCGTTTGTAACTCTCAGACGATTAGCACATTGGAAAAGATGCCTGCAGCACACCTAAGGGGCATTTTCTGAAGCTCCTTACTAATCAGACATTTAGAAACCCATCTGATCTTCATTAATGTAACTCCTTAAATTATGTAAGGTTTAGTGCATAAAAAAAACAATAGATAAATTGATCTGTACATTTCTCCTTTTTAAGGGTCTTATTGTTGTGAAGCCGAAGGCTGCTGTTTATATCTTAGAGCTAAGTCTGGTTTATTTCTGAACCTTTATAGGTAACGATATATTATTGAGTTTCTAAAAGTATGAATGAACAGATAAGTCAGTCATCTTCATTTCCATGTTTGAATTTGTTTAGTTAGTACTTAATTTTATTGTTCAATGGCGGTCATTGTCTATGCAAACAGGCACACAATGTTAGATATCCATCAAGTATCTTAACAGATATTTTTATCATATAATATTGCCAGTGATATACTGATATACAGTACAGGATACACAGGACTGTATTGAGAATCTAAAAGGCCCAGCTGCTTTAAAGCTTTGCTTTGGGTAAAAGTCATGCCTGTTATTAGAAATATATCATTATCTAGGTTCCATGGCCTTACCTAGATGCTGGTATCCTAGGTTGCTTGTGTTTTGCACTGTAAATACTGTGCCATGCAGTTATGTGCTCATTTTCCTCTGCACATTTAAATAAAGCATTCATATATATTGTAATAAAAACAGCAGAGATTTACAACAACCGCACTATACCAAACAGTAAAAACTCAGGGCAAAAAATGATCAATATGGAATCTGAAATCCTTAATCCTAACACTTTCCAGAAATCCAAAGAAAAACTGAAACCCGTCCAATTACTTAATACATTTTATTTTAATGAGTTAATCAGGCAGGACATGAACTGTTTTAAAATGAGAAGACTATGAGATTGCAGAGATATCACAAGGGTGATATCACACTTATGCATATAGTGCGCACACCTTTTTAGTTAAGTGTCAGAAATTAACATATTTTTAAAAAAAATGTAATACAGAAAATATTAAGAATTACAGACATTAATAAGAAAAAGTAATATTAATCATTAAAGGATGGGTTGGAGCCAAGGTGACACTATTTAACATGTTCAGGTGGGTAGCTGCGTCAGCATGCGTAGGCTACAAAGGAACAAGTAATAGGTTTATTCCATGCTGAAAAGAGAAGACAGAAAACACAATGTTTCAGCTGTATATCTTACACACCCGAAGAAGGCTCCACAGCCAAAATGTGTTTTCTTTCTTCTCTTTTCAGCATGGAATAAACCTATTACTTGTACTATTTAACATGTGTTATACTTCAGATAACAAGAATTTAATTATGTTTAAGAATAGTAAACATTCCTTCCCTTAACTTTGTTAAATCGTGGTTTTTATTTGCTTTAGTTTTTGCTAATAGAAATTCCAAAGGCTAAGCCAACCCCAACAGTGACACTGCCAAACTGAGCTGGAGAGAGGAGAATTAAAGCAAAGGGCAGTAATTAAATGATTTTGATGTCCCTATAAATTCAGAATTGCACTCTTTATGTAAACCATGAGGCCAAGAGTTACCAGACAATGAAGAAAAACTTTGTAGAGTTTCTGCAGTGAAATATGCAAAATGAAAAACAGCAGGGACTGTCAATCTGCGGATCAGTGATAATTAATTAGGGGGCTTAGGAGGATTTACTGGTAATAATTCTGCAGGGCTCTTGAAATATGTCTGTGTTTTTCATAGCTTGTTGCACTTACAGTGGACGGCTCAGTATTTCCCGGAGGGGAGAAAATTAAAGAGAATAAAGAGCCTGCAGAGACTGCATGAGCCAAAATTCACATTAACTTTATCAGCCAAGAAACAATTACGAATGCCAAACAAATGTTGTAACTGAGGGACCTCTGCAATGCTCGTTCGCTGATGAATATTGAAGTAAAAATCATTAGCAAATGCATTTGGTTTTTGCAATCAGATGCAAATAGTATAAAGTAATCTGTTTATAAATAGCAAATCATCTTAACTGCTTGACTGTCCCATTTTTTAAAAAGAAAATATACTGCGTAGAACAACAGTTGTAATTGTTCTAAAACAATCCCGATAAGATGTGAGGCAGATCAGGGATCTTACAGAAGTCTAAACAACTTAACATCAGTGTACCTTGTGGAGAAAGCTGTGCCACTGAGCTGAGAAAACATGGCAAATGAGACCAGGCCAGATTCACTGCTGCACAGGCTAATTATGAATCTAATTCAAACATTAAACAGGAAAGAGTGAAGCCAAGTCCATAATATGCTCACTGTGCACGGTTATAGGTTATAGGTAGATATAAAGTCACTATGTGTTACACCTAACTCTCTGCTTACTATTAAACAATGACAATCCACCAATTATTTTCATGTACAGATACAGGCATAAGTGAAAGTACGTCCCTTGATTGGTCGATCTGGCAAACAAAGCCTCATGTGCTTTACAAACGGACATCGTCCTCAGAGAAGAACGGAATAAAGGTGGCTTACCTGCTCATGTGACCATGTGCGTTCTGACCCATCCTTCATGCACACATCCAGTCGGAGCTCGGTTCCGGTCCCCCCGTGTTTGCTGTCTATGCATAAACTAGAGGCCACATTCCGTATCTGGAAAAAAAAGGAAATGTCTGTATTAAGCCGACTTTTGACTTTATTTAACAGGTTGTAGCTTTGTACTGTGTATACTGTAGATGTACACACATCATACTGGGATGTCTGTTGAAGATTTGCCAGCTTTAGTTGAAAATTAAATGTTTTGAATAAAACATCTCTAAATAGCTTCAGGCTGTTATAAGCTCTGACATTTTTTTCTCTGATTATGGTTTGGTAAACCGTCCAGGAATCTCTCTGTTAGACGCATTTTTAAATTATGCATTTGAAGGTGCAAACCTCTAACCGATCATTCATGAGATGTGATTCCCTCTTGACGCCTTCATGGAGACATAGTTGAAGCTTAAACCTTATAATACTATTTTTATTTGTCACTGCTAAAAGATTGGGTCAGAAATCAGTCTTTAGTTCCTTTCCTCTGACACCTGCATAGCAGCTGTGTACATCACTTCACATAACGGCTTGTATGGTATCTGTCACTGCAGTCTCTCCCGCAACACAACTGACCTTGTCTTTCCAGAAGCGCCCTTGCCTTCAGCTGCTGTTGCTTTCAATTATGCAGGGGCTGAGAAACCCGCTCCTAATTTCCTAGATTAATCTTCAATGTATTTTCGAAAACTGCTTTTTTAGCACAGCCAAATAATACATTCAGAAATGGGTGAAAAATCTCCCCGCAATTTTCAAATTGTCATCCAATTACATTTTATGATACCATAATTTGTCCTGCATAGTTGATCACCTCATAACACATTCTATTAAGAAAATAAAGATCTGGCAGGGTGGAGTGATTTATGCAACATGGACAAGTGCAATGGAATAAATAAATCCCTGACTAAAAATCATTTAAGTACAGAAATGCATGGTAAAATATATTCCTGTAAAGTCTCTAAAAGCTCTTCAAACTGCATTAAAGATAAATACCAAACCTTCCAGCCTTCTCTTAAAACACCATCCGGTGTGACAAGAGTCATGCAAGACTGGAGTTTATTATAAGGAAAGGTCAGTTTTCTGTAACAGATTATTTGAACACACAGCTACTGATTTGCCCCTTCACAAAGTGTTCCAACGTGCTGTTGCATATGATCTCCATTTCCACAGAGATTTCCCAGGAGCAAAAAAATTCAAAGTCAACTAATCTAAACAGTAACTTCTAGGCAGTACAAAGAGTTTATCCAATGCTTTGTGTTCTGCCAGGCAGTGAGAAAAAGTAGAAATATACAGAATATAGAACTTCTCTAATAGGCACAGTTATTCTGAAATGCAGAAGAAGCCTGAAACTTAATACTAATTTCACAGCCTTTCTTTCCAGATATCCAAGCTGAAAAGCACTTTGAAACTCAAAGCCAATAAATTGATTTTTTTGCCTTGAATTTAAAATATCATTTTCACCCTGCTTTAACTATTGTGAAAAAAGCACTTTAATCAGAGCAAAAATTGATGCCTTTAATCTAGTTTTTAAATCACAGTAGATTTTCTTTTTTATATTTCACAAAAGATTTCATTTTTTCTCTTATTGTCAATTTTTTAAACTAGTGCCACACAACTGGGCCATAATGCATGGTATTTATTTAGAAAAGATTCCTTTTCCACCCGCAAAGCCTTGTATTGAGCTCTGAGGTGAATGGAAGATGAAAGAACAGCGAAAAGCCTTGTAATTAAAAGTTTTATCATTCCAGCCTTCACTTTCTAAATATGAGTTATTTCAGGGTGCCGTTACTGAAGCGAATATGATTTTACTATTTTTTTTCTCCAAATCAATTATTTTCATCTGGATGTGACACAAAGCAATTTGCTTCTATTATCAGGAGTAAAATAATTGAATGCACGGAAGTAAAATCAACTTTGATAGCAAGGGAACAAGTCACTATTAGGCATGATGTCTTGTCACTGCTAAAATCGGTAAATGAGCTAATTAATACTTAAGTGTTTTCTACGTGTGCTCTTGTGATATTCTAATAAAGTTAAAAAAGTTATAATGTGTGGTGTAAATTATTAAAGCAGACAAAGAAGGAAAAGAAAATTTAATCAGCGAAATAAGAAGATTTAAACTGCTCTTCGGGCTGGTTTGCAATTTGAAAAACTAGGTGAGCCGACGTCTGCCCTTGCCCAGAGCAGGGGGAAGAGATGAGGGCTTATTTATGCCCCCAGTTTTTACTAGAACTGCTTGAATGCGGAAGGTACCAATTTCAAGTGCCTTGAAAATGGCACTGAAAACCTTATGAGGGCCTTTTATTGTTTAATACATCAAGAAAAGTGACAGGCTGATGGGCTAAGATTGAAGAAGTCAGGATATGAAGCTGTCAGATTGAAAGTAAAATTACTAGCAGTTACTAGGGAAAGAGGTATTTACCAGGCATACATTTTCCTACTCAATTTTAACATACACTTTCTTCATTCTATTTTAGCAATTGGTTTTCTTAGTTAATACTGGCGGAGTGGATAAGCAGCAGCTGCCTATTTGTGGCTGATAGCATTGCAGGGCTGTGTTTGTATATAGCGAGAGGGACCACATGTAAATGCTGTCCTATATCCTAGAAATATTAGTCTAGAGGGCTGTTGGAAAAGAAACGTTTTCACATTTTTCAGTACAGAGTTAAGGAAGGACACGGACATTGTTGGGGATGCAAGAAAATGTTCCTTGTAAGATTTTTATTAGAATGGTTATTATCATGAATTCTATAACTTTTTCAAAGTGGACCTTCATATCAACCATAAAATATTGTGTTGCACCCAGTAGCAGTCATTCTTCAGCAGACAAGAGACACTTTTATGTCTGCAGGCCTACGAAGAAACAAAAAACGTTTTAAAAACGTTTTTAGCCCATTAAAAATGCGTGGCATTATTTGTGTGTTACTGGTAGTTTTACTCATGAGAAACTAGTTTTCTATTAAAGTCATCATAAGTGTGCAGAAAATGTTCAGGTTCTGATCTGAAACTAGCTGATAGTCTGATGATAGTCCTTTTGATGGGCAACCTGAAAGAGGTCGAGCCTAAAATAAATTTCCACCAGCGCACCAGCACGACTAAATCGTTCATCCACTACGCTACCTAAACTGTGTTACATGTTGAGACACACGGTGATTGTGGTCAGTCATAGGACAGAAAATGTTCTTACAAAAACCCCCCCAATTTCCATTTCAGGAGTAATACTTGGTAGCTTTACTTTTTTAAAAATAATTTTGCAGCGGTTTTAGTTTCTTCCATTGATTTTGCAACTAATTCAAACATGAAATCTGAATGGGATTTCCAAGCTGCTTCTTGAGTTCTGCCCACATGAGCTGTCACAAGAGCCCGCGCTTCTTTGGCGAACTGGAGAAGAACTTTTCTTTCTTCTTCTAATCTACAAACAGCACGGAAGCTGCTTTGTCTCATGATCACAGACCGATGCAGGCTGAAGTGATTTAGTGGTGAAAATTCATAAAGCCCCTTAAAGCTCTTCACACATATAGGAAGGAACTCACTTCCTCCACCACTGAACTGAACAGCAGTCTCTGGATGACGGACTGTTGCAACCCCACTATGCAGTAGATCAGGAGGAGTGAGAAACTGCTTCACTAATTGGATTAAGGGGGGGTGTCGTGTTGGTCTGATTGCAAGAGCTTAGTGGAAATAATAACCTTGTCCTTTCAACAAGCCATGGAATCTTTAATGGCCAAGTACAGCACGCAGAGCCCTCTCGGTTTGGATGTGTTAGTGGAAAAGGAGTATAAGCGAGCTACCTTGGATTCCAAGGAAGGACATTGAACATTATTATGGATAATATACAAACAGCCTCCTAAAGCAAGAATATATCACATGAGACATTTAGTTTGAGATTGGTTCGCAGGTATCAGCACAAGCACCCTAAAAAATAAGAACTGGATACATAATTAAAAGAGAAGACATCGTTTTTTTTAAATCTTTTGCCAGTTCTCATATTGCTACATACTCATGTATCAATCAAATCTTGCCACCTTTCACATTATCAATGATTGTATCGGTGTGGTTCATCCTTCACTTCTGCTTCAGCCACACTTGTTTATACGGCCATCAGGTTTCTGTTCTTTTTTTTCTGCCCTTTTTGATTAGAAATATAGACTTTTCTCCTGAGAATATCCTTCCTTGTGAGGGTAATTATAAATTTACCTTAACCCATCCTTGGAGGCATGTACTGTATAATTTAATAACCCAACAATCCTCAGCTAGTTTCAGGACTCCTCATTTAAAAGTGCAGGTTTACATATCTATCATGTAATGCTTTTTTCCTGTTTTACCTATTAAAGCATTTTAAAGCAGATTTCACAGTTTCAATGATAAGTTGGTTTAAAGATATAGTTTTAAAAAAATATGGGAAAAGTGCAGAAGTGAAAAAACACAGAAATCACCAAGAACACCTTAACATTATGTTATAGCTCTTCAAGGACACAGATATTGTGCAATTGCTTATCAGCTTTCCTGTGATGGAACAAGTCCTGAATGGCATTGCTGCATTATAAATCCTTTTCAGCAAAGTAGCAGCCTTGAACTCTGCCACCACACAGCCCACCTCTTTAAATTACAAACTCGCACAACAATGTAATCCAGTATTAGTGTACTGAAGTAAACCTAAATTTAATCTTAAATACATTAAGGCTTTTACAACGGTATGCTTCAGTGCACTTCCTAATTACGATTGCGAATGCAAATGCTCGCGGAGTTTCTCTTTCATCCACAAAGAAGTAATAAATGTTGCTGATGGGAAAATCCACAGGAGAAGAAAGCGCCTTTCCACAAATCACACAGCCTCTGCAATGCCTGACCCAGGGCCCTATAAATGTCAGGCGAATGCCTGTGTGGCAGTCCAGCTTGACAGAGGCCGGTATTCCTTTTCTGACCCCCTCTGCCCTAGATATATGAATTTTATCTGGCAGAAACTCCTTTAATACAAAAGTGTGTGGGGTTCCAGATCTGGCCTAGAAGCAGCATGGAGGAGGGGGCCACAAACCCAGTCCTGCCCCCAGAACAGTTCTCTGTGCCGTCGCCAAATTGACAGTCCTTAAAAAAACACCCTCCAGACTGATGTCACTCGTGGCAGAAAACAAGAGATACAAAATGTGCGAGTCCTACGGAACTGCACCAACACCTACTTAACAAACAAATCCCGGGATGTGTCTGCGAATCGATGGCGACTTGCTTACCTCCCCCCAGGCCGCCGGTGGAGGCTCTACAGGAGGGTAGTACTTGGGCAGGTCCCAGGCAACAGCAGTCATGTACCACCTGAAGTCCTTGCACTTGAGATGTTTGCGTAGCTCCTTCTGCGCTGTCAGGTCCCCGGTTGACAGATGTCTGTATTCTGGCCGCCGTTGGTAGATGTATTCTGTGTATTCATCCATCCACGTCTCCGCGACTCGCTTCAGGTTCTGCAATTGCGTTGCAACATTAAATCTCTTGGTGACAATACTGAGAACCCAGAACTGTGACCTCATGCTGGGATACTGGGAGATGACTATTTAGTGAACATGTTTTTGTGTGTATTGTGGGCACAACAATGTCGAAAGGACAGTAACCCATGTCACCCAGGAGGCATGAGAGAGGCTCATGGGCTGGGATGTCGTGCAGTCTTTGTAGAACAGGGGCAAATGGGAAAGATTACTTTTGCACACTCTAAAAATTGTGTTCTGGTATTTTCCAGTCTTTGGAACATTTTTCATTTAACTTTGGGACAGATTTATTCCTAGCATGGTGGAAGCCTTTAGAGCCAACCGTTAATCAATGAAGGAGAGACATGACAAAGTCATATCAGAGGATTTAAACATTTGAATTTAGTGCGGAGGCTGCTGGCTTTCCTTTGCTTAGTACAGTCTGTAGGCTGTTGAATTAAAAGGTCTTCTGGCACTAAGTTGCATCTGGATCTGGGAGGGGGATATGCTGATTATACTTGAAAAAAGTCTTGCTCTTCTTCTGTAAAAATGCATTTTCTAATTATTGTCGCTACTGCTTGTTCAATAAATATATCATACTCTGCAATATCCAACCTTTGTCAATATTTGTATCAAACTCCAGTGTCAGCAGAATCTCTGTTTCTTCTTACAATTTATCCAGCAGAGGCTGCAGAAATGTGGAAAGGTCAAAGGTTATCAAGTCATTGGGTGAGTTTCTATGACTATTCACCATGATTTACTTTTTAATATAAGCTACAAACTCTACTATGCCGAAAGAGATCTGATTAAGTGAATGAGCATCACTCAGCTTGTGTTTGCATGGCTTCTCTATGATTGCAAGCATTTTGTCAGGTGCTCCAGTGATTTCAGTGAATGCATGGATTAGCTACTCTACATTTTCTGTTTCCAGGGGGCCGATGTTTCCTGAAGGACCTTCCCTGGTATTGTGACTGAAAAAAATAAAATAAGCATGTTGACCTGAATGGACTTGTATGGAATGGAAACTTGAATATAAGTTTGTCATTCTGATGTAAATATTTCTCCACCGAAAAGCACATTATCAAAACCTTTTCACATTCTTCAATTGCAGTAGACTTACTCTTGCTAAGCTGGTCCCAGAGGGCACTTTGTAGGGGACATACTTTCGGTAAATGTGACCGACTCTAGAACATGGGACATCATACATACTTCCTCCACACATCCAAACCTGGAAAAAAATGAAAAAGCAGTACTCAAGCGTCAAGAAAAAAAGACTACTTGAGGAAGAAAGAAGTGCTTCTTTAACCATAGTATTGAAAATGTCAGTGCCAAAATAGCTAGTCAGGGCCTTTTCATTTCAGGGATTTAAAAATCACAGATCACCGACGCATACATTTAGTTTAAAATATGGAAAACCTTTCCTGCAGTTTGATGCATTGATCACATCTTAAACCCAGCAAATACTTTGGGCTTTTTTCATACTGACATTGTCTAAGTTAGAGTTCACATGTCCCTTGTAGGGAGAACTGATGAACTTTGATTGGCTCCAACAGCTGTTGTTTTTGCCGTCTTTAAGGACAAATAAATCTAAGGACACATGAGCATTTTGGAAGATGATTCTGAGTAATTATTTTCAGAGCCAGAGGCTAACATACTGTATGTATGTGATGACTTTCAAAGATTTTTGTTCCAGGGCATCATTTTCTTGTTCTTATTCCAATAAACAAGTTCATGGCCAGATTATGGGGAGGTCGGCCGACACCGCCCCACCCCCACACTGTCCCCCGGACCATCCTCTTTCAAAAGCATTAAGAAATTGCAGCTCAGTTGTAGCTGTTAAAAATAAAAGATTACACCAAGGCTCCCCTACTGCAGCCTTGACATCCACAAACCTGAAAAGTGCATTATATAAGCACTCTAAACACTAGACGTTAGAATGGTGGAGGAGTCTGAGGCACACTGTTACAGCGGGCTGCTCCCCATGTTTAGCATCATTTCCAGTGAGCTATTTCTTGCTTCCATTTCCTTTTTCCCCCCCAAAGAAATGCTTTTTCCAATATATCCTACATGCAGAAAATATTTCAGCTTACCTAAATAAATAGATGGTAACTGTCAAATTTGGGCACATAAATAATAGGGAAAAACACAGATTTGGACTGTATTATACTTTCTATATTTATATAAATGATCTAGTTTTTCTAGTTAGCAAAGTAATTAGGATTGCTGAGAAAACTAAAACAGGACAGACACTGCAGCAGCAGTAAATGAAATTCAAAAGAACTCTGATAAAATGCAAGACTAGGCAAACACCTGGCAGATGATGTTGAATGTAGACAAGTGCAGAATATGAAGATAGTGAAGGCATCAACTATAAATACAAACCTGGAATCGCTGAGCTTGAAGAAGCTTTTGGTGCCAATACCACACAGAATTTTATTCCGTCTGTTCTAAATAATTTCAGTAACACTTTATTTTATGGGGTGCAAATCATGCTACAAGTACAGAGCAAACACTCCATTTATAAATGGCAAAGGACTGACTTCAGTTAATCACTTACTGTTACTGTATTAATGTTGTGTAAAAGTATTAATGTATAATGGGTTATAAAATATTTGTACATGTGTGCCCCCTATACTCAAGCAATTCCATATATTTTGAAACTAATGCTTCCCTATGGCTGCCTAAACAAACGCACAAGGTGACCAATAAATAAAGTACTGCCATGGCTAGGAATCCATAGTAAAAATTATTTGATTGGCCAGAGTTCAGCTACTTAAGTTTCAGAATGACCTAGACCTAAATGAGAGGAGCTTTGCAGACATGCTCCTAGGATAGATTGAATTGTATTTTCTAGTCTCCTACAGCTTATTTAATTGCTGGGAATAGGTTTGAAAAGCCTTAGAACAATTAAAGCACTCAATTAAAAAAAGTTCAATTCTGATCACGAGTTCTGAACCATGTCAGGCTTACTCTTGTTTCCCTGTGTTAGAATAATCACCAGGCAATTCCACGAATTCCAAAACTTCTACTGGAAAGATCCTCGACTCATTATTGAAAAACCCTGAACTACAAAGTATTTAAGAAAGCCCAGCAGGGTGTCTTGATCTTGGAGAGTGACATCGTTATTTTACACTATATGCAAAGATAAAATAGCAAGTCATTGACGCTGGTATTTAATCTCAGTTTGACTGGCAGTATAGGAACTCAAATTCTATTTCAAAGTATCCTGCCTAATTCATAGGCAGTCTTGTAGCAAGGCTCAAAAATCTAATGAACAATATACAGCTCAAGTTCAGTCCTTATGCTGTGTTTTAGCTTGTTCACACTTTTTTCCATCCTTTTAAGCTATTCTCAGAATCTCTTCAGCTTGCTAAACCGCTGTCTTTGATGTATCCCTGTTGTACTACTTCTTTGTTAAAGCACTCAAGACACTCTTGGGATTTGAATCAAGTGAAACTGTTGATATGCGGTGACATGCAGGATATGTTTCGGCTGAGAAGATGTAAAAGTGCTTGCAGTTTCCACGCTGTGACAGATGGGAGAGTGTCTTCCTTTCACACATTTAGTCTTTCCCACTGTTTTGTAGTTGCTCGGATTCCTGCACGTCAAACATTTCAAGGCAAATTCATGACAGTTTCAGCTAAGGGTCAAGCTAACTTATTACTGATTCTTTCACAGAATTTATACCCATGATTTCCCTTTTTCCCCAGGAAGAAGCAACAACAAAATAAATAAGGCTGCTGAGCTATTGTCAGTGTTGACTGCTGGATAAAAAAAAAAGATTCTTGCTTGAGTGTGTTTGCAGAATCGATAACGATTTCAATTTCATAATTTATGGTGAACGTCACAACTATTTTTGGCAAATGAATTCTAAAACAGGATTACATCAAATTATTAGTTCAAATAAGAGTTTGATTAAACAATCGAAAGAGCTAAGTAATTGGGATGAGTACCAGAGGACCATAATGACTAGGACGAGACAGTATAGTTCAGACATTGTGTTATCAGTTGGCCTGGAGGCTGTGATTTTGGTGTGCCTGAAAGTCATAACATGACCCCATCTCCTCTTTCCCCTCCTCATCCCTGTGTGAAATCTGGAGAGTTAAGATTTCATGGGGGCTGACACTCCAATGTCACTTGCCAAGTGAACTAAGCCAAAGGGGAAAATCTCATTGCAAAGACAGTCACGGAAAAGAAAAGCAAAGTAGACAGGTGTTACACTTTATTCTTGAGTTTATACAAGGAACCTAATTCATGCTGACAGCTTGGGGGTGCTATTGGTCCATATTCCAAATGATAACAGACTTCAATTAAATTAAAGGCACTCCTGTGTTCTGAAGTGTAGGCCCCTTTTAGAAATTTTCAACCGCTTAAAATATAAAACTTGAGTCACTCATTGTCTTCTTTATGACTTTCTTACAAAACATGTGACTGTACCTCGGTAGGATTTTAATTGCATCACTTACTAAAAGTTATTTCCTGCTGAGATATTTAGTCACAGTGACATAGGGCATCAAACTGAAAAGCTTTCAAAATGCTTTGATTTAAAATAAAGATGCCAACATTTAAGTTAAAAAAGGCAAAGTATGGTTACACAGAAACAATTGTGAATCCTGGGCAGAAAGATCAAACCGTTGCTCTCATTTAAATCCAGAAATGAAAAGTACTTTTACGTTGCCGTAACGTCGTAATAAAAGTACCTCTCTTCTTCTCCTTTTATAACTAAAAAGCATGGGCAGTGAACTTAAGGTCAGCCGATTGTAATGAGATGAACGATATAAGATGACTAAAATAAGACCTTGCGTGACATTACTGTCTCTAAAGAATCTGTCACCAGGAAAAAAAAAAACTAGACTCGGGCAATTTAGCTTCTGAACTCTTAGTGTGGTTACCATGGTTTCCAGACAAGGAGAAAAGGGCTGCATTCCAATTACAGGCCTCTCAATGACAGACAGAAAGAAAATGGGATAATGAAACCTAGAAGATGGCAGGCGTGTCAGATACAATAAACAGAAGTTTGACTTATCATCTAATGCCTCAAAATATATTCATGAAGAACAAAAACATCCCAATGCCCAAAAGAATCAAAATATTAGTCAGCCTAACTCTTTGGGGTCTAATGGCCACTTTTCCCTAAAAAAGCCATAGAAATTATTACTAGCTATAGAAATGATTACTTTCTTGCTTGATTCTTGACTATATTCGCTTTTGCATTCTGAGTTGTACAATCCTTCATTATGGATAAGGAAATTTATCTCTTCCCAAAAAAGGTGGTGGGGGCTCTGATTGACAGAAAAAGAAGAAAAAAACCACCAAAAAGCTGTTAGTAGAAGACATGGGATGACAAAATACTGTTCTCTGTCCAGCTAGTTAAGGTTTAAAGTTCTTTGGTCTTGCAACCTTTAAGCTAAAGCTGAACAGCAGTGATTAAGATTCTTCACTAGATCTTAGTACTTGTTTGTAACACCCTCAAAGAGAACCATTCTACAAATAAGTTTTACCAATTCTGCACCACGAAAGAATGATATAAGGCAAAAGCTGTACATCTGGCTCTTGGTATCTACTTTGTCCTTGCCTGCAGTCATTCGCAGATCTGCACAGATGTCAGTATTCAGGGTCTGACGCACAAACTCTTGAGTGTTTCAATTTACACATCACTTGTGTGCTTGTTTGAAACAATTACAAGATATCAAATTATGCAAAAACATTTAGTATTAGAGCCATTAACATGGTTAATTTAACCTCTGCAGAATGCCCTTCAAAGAGAATTTGGCAGCTTTAAAAGTGAAATATCCATCCATAACATCAGAGTTCCTTAGCATAACTTCAGTTCTCAATACCCCATCTATCCCAGCTGCCATCTGAAAAAAAACACCAGATGTGATCATAAGATCCTTTTAAAAATATACATAGCAAGCTAATGCTTGGAAATTGGATTGCCAAAATGATTTTATGTAGTGGGGATATTTTTGTAAATCCCCTGCAAAAAGATACACATTTTTTTCCTAAGAAAAGCATTGAAAAGACTTATTTATGTAAAGTAAATTAAATGTTGTGTCAAACATTGGAAATGCTAAAAAATCCAGCAATTGTAATCTGTAATTTTTATATTAAGGCATTACTACCCTGGTGATATATGTAACCTGACATAGTACCTTCGAAGTAGGAGTATTGTTGGTTTAGTAAACAAAACTTGCTCAATTGCTCACCTATTACTGCAGTTTGACATTTTCAGAGAAACACATTCCTTTTCTTGAAGGAAGCCCAATAAGTTCATATTTGTGGAGTTGCTTTGTCTAGTTACAGCAAGCACATCTGGTGGGCTTCTGCTCCTGAGTGTTTTGTTGTAACTCAGCCAAGTCTGTCCTTCTTTAGCTCCCTGATCAACTGTTTCATCAGCCTTCAGATTTACCAGGTCTGTTTTTATTCACCACAGTTCCACTGCTTGGAAACTATTTTTCTGAAGATTAGAAGTGGAAAAGTTAAGCTTCAAAACTATCCATTCATCTATTTTTTTTTCTCGGCCAACAATATTCAGAAAACATTGCATGGAGTCATTAGGCAATGTCTTATTTAAAATATAGTGTCCTATTCAACACACGATAACTGAAAGTGCTTGCTTTGATACCCATAACTCACTTTGTTATGAAAATGTATGAAACATGATATAACTGTGGCATCTGTCCCAATTGATTAATTGAGAAAATGACAGATCAATCAGGGAAAGGCATTACTAACATTCTAAATCTGCTCAATTATTAAATTTGCCCATTTCCAGATAACTTCCACACAAAACTGTGATTCAATTACATTTTATTGGGCTATATGTTTCACATTCCCACTGCTCTTGAGAATGAAAATTGAACTGAAGGTTTTCCTTTTCAATAATTTATGTTTGAGTCAAATTACTTTGTTAGCTGTGAGCATTATTCATCCTGACAGGAGAGAGGTCACAAAAATACAATATTTAAATAGCTTATTTAACTTGCTTTTTTAATCTCTTGCAGTTCTCAGAAATAAAAGTCCTTGCAATATCTTGAAAATAGGCAGAGAACATTTTATTCTGAATCATTTATTTCACTTCATTTTAGGTCAACGTGTTTGGTCTACAGTATCTAAATTACAGTAGTTAGCAAAAGGTATTTTCTGGCTTGACTTACCTTGAACGATATTTCATACTGCTCTCCACCCCATATCTCTAGTCCTGGATCATAGCCTCCCAGTTCCCAGAACCACTGTCGATTTACTGCAAAAAGGCCCCCTGCCATAACTGGTGACCTGGAAGAAGGATCATGTGAAAAATGGCACCAATGAACACCTCAATCCCTTGACATAGTGCTCCCATTCACTATAATCGTAGAGGTACAGTCTGAAATAGATACATCTACTAATATTTTTATTTCCATTTCACCCCTAGGTATTAAATAGAACAATGCAATCCTAATATGCCAGATTCTGAGAAGGTCTTTATGATATGAGTAATTGTCTTAAGGTTTTTAATTGGTCCATTAACAACAGAGATGGTATTCTCTGTACAGGTTAGAGACTCAGTGAAACATTAAAATCACATCTTTTCATGACTAATGAAACCAAGGCAATTTAATAAGCCTCGAAGGATTTCAGTACCATATCATCAAATATATATTAACAGGGTTCTGCGGTGCTGAATAGAAAACAAACTGAGAAAGAAAAACAGAAACAGAAGGCAAAGCAACCGTTTGAAAGCAAAACAAATAAAGGTTAATATAGATAATTGAGCAATCTTTCAACAGATTAACTTGAGATTTTACATTCCTGATAATTAGCTGTAAAAGATGAAGTTGTGTATTTGTTTTAAAACAAAGTGTTTTTTCTTACATTAACAAATACAAGCATCGCCATTTCACTGTCACATTGAAATAACCTATTGAGATGGGCAGCAGTTTGACTTTTTTCATTTTTAAGCTAATTCGCTGAAAAACATCATTTTTGGACTATTTTGTCATTTCGTTTCGAACAATTATCTTGGAAAGTAAACAACATAACATGGTTGATAACCACACCTACTGATTCTTTCAGTTCTAGCTGTGTCTACTTTGCAAACTTGCAGCTCCCACCTCCCACACAAGAAGGCTGACTGCCTCCCAATACTAAGAAGGTTCATTCACACCTATAAGGGGTTTATTCACCTGCGGTGCACCAGACATTTCAATACTGCTTGGCTTCTGTTACACCGGAAATGTAAATATATCTGTTTGTATTCAGAGAGTAGCTTTTTTCTTATGTTTGATGTTGTAATCTTTTAGTGCATCTAGACATTTTCTTCTTCTTCTGTCACATCTTTATATTAATGTCGTTGGGACTGGGAATGGTGGATATTACATGCACTATGTTGCGTAGGAAAATGTGAATTCCTTATTTTTTCCCCACTTTGGCTCAGTTAAGTGTCAGCTGTAGGAGTCCACGTTTTTTTTTCTATCTGAATTATTTTTCAATGAGTGACAGGTAAAGGATTAAGATGATTTACAATCTGCCCACAAACAGCATTGTACAAAGAATATGTTTTCAACTTGTAACCGGTTAAAGAAAAAAAAACATGCAGATGCTTTCACTTTCTGTTGAAAACATAAGCAGGAAATACAGTTAAACACTTAATTAAAAAAAACTCTTTCAAGTAGGCTTTCCATAGTCAGTCTTTCAGACTACCTATTTTCTTTTCTTGGTATTGTACTTGCTCAAATATATCGTCATTGTCATTTTAAAATATTTAAATAACCCTTGAAAATAACCCTCTTCGAATCTTCCGGCAGTGGACTGGTTTTAGCCCTGAAACGAACAATTTTGTATTTCTTTTCCATGCTTTCCTATGGCACCGTGAAATATTGCCATAACCCAGCAGGTAATAGGAATAGCACTCTTTTCCATTAAATGTTTCACTGACTTAAAGAAAGCTCCACTGTTGCCAACTGAACTTTAATATCATAGTAGCGTGAAATAATATTGCAATGGTGAACGTAGTGCAGTGCTGTGTGCTGTGTCACAGAAAAATATGAAGAGGTCCAGTAGTAGACAGCAGCTGAGCATTTCGGGGGATATTTCCTGAGCTGGAGGCTTTCCATATGGGTGTTCTTTAACCCATTTTTCGACCCAATTAGAACATCAGGAGGCTTTCCTCAAGCAGCTTGACTCAATACTTTGCATCTTCTGACTAGACTACAGGCTTGTAAATTACCCAGTAGATTTGACTCTTTAGGCAATGTGGACGCTGGGAGCACACAAGAGAGTTTGCTTTGAAAGCAATTTAAAACTTAGATCAATGCAAAAATAGGAACACTTCGAAAAAAACGTGAGGTACCAGGAGTTACTTATCTCAGTACACAAGTATGTACTTTCTAAAGGAAAACAAAAAGATTTATTAAGGCTTATTGGCTTACTGCAGATGTTTGACCGTAGTGAAAAGAGCCTGAGTCTTTTTGAAGTGGCCAAGACAGGTCGCTAGCAATGTACCCGAAAGGACAACAAGCACCTGAATTCAAGATGACAATTTTATGTGTCTCCCGACCTTATAGTTTGAATCCCCTTTTAGGCTGACTCTTTTCAGCAAGCCAAAAAGACAATTATAATATTTCAGTTGTTTAGCATTGATAGGGATTAAAAGTGTCACCTAAAGCAATTACTCTGTGGAAGGCGAGAGAAACCGAGTGAGCAGAGTAAGACTGAGGGAGCTGCTGGTTCATGCCTGTGCTACACGAGGGAGGTCAGAGAGTCACTGCTGGGCAGCAATTTCCTGAAAAAAAGCCTCTGTAATTAGGTTGTAAAAAAACAGCAAACAGGATGAACAGAAGGGGCAGATGTGGGCGCCAAAAGCAATTTGCTCTCCCCTAATATTCTCTGGCCCACTTCCTTTCTTTTTATTAAAGGCCTGTAATATACTGGCTTACTCAATTATGGAGGGTAATAGAGAGGCGAGCACTTATCAGTAATGAAATTAATTTTTTTTATCCTTCTTGCCAACAACAGAGAAAAAAAACAGTGCTTATTCCATGCTCATGTGCTAAAATATCTGTGTCAGCAGTTTAAGCAGCACAGATAGATAGATATTGAAATAACCTGAAAAACAAATTGGCTTTAGCTTCTAATGATACTTGTAATTAGCTTGCCTGTTAGTGATAGATTTATGGCTTAATAAAACTGCAGAAAAGAAAGAAATATATACAGCTTCTGATTACACGAGGGCAATTCAACTGGGTAACTGAGGGTTTTTCTGTGAAAGTCAAAAATAACAGCAACACGCCATACAGTATATTGGCAGTCTTATCTAATTTCTGAAAGGCAGAAATCTCTCCACCATCAATCTGCTTTTATATTTTTATCCTACAGTACATAGGAGTGGCAGCTCACTGAGTTTAAGTTGGAAAACAGAGGAAAGACCAACAATACACTGCTGAATCCTATCTCTAATAAATAACTTAAATAACTTAACGGCTGTCCCGATAAAATAATAATACAGTTGTATCAGAGATATAGAATAGTTATTTGTCTGTTTTAATTACTGTGCACAGAGAATTGGACACATATTAGTTTCTAGTTTTTAGTATCTAATGCATTTGCATTTGTCCTGAGCTCAGACCTAAGTGAGAATTTATTCAAATAATAAAAGGCTGTAAGTATGAAATGAAACCTCTGTTTGAATTATCTGGAAATGATCCCTAATGTTTAAGGACTATATGATAGACACGATGGTGTCTGACTAAGGAGAGTATTTTTGTTCAGCCAAGGATGCCCACACAGTAGGTAACTGATTGGTCCAGAAGCTGTTCCAAATTAGTTTTATGCATCTTAATGCTAATCTTCCTGTAGTAATTTAAATGTATTTGAATGCCCATGTTTTGAATTTGTCATACTACTTACTATTGGTTGAGAAGACCTTCTAACAGTCATAGTATGGGTTAATACACACACCTCCTGAGATATCCTGACAATTACTCTATTTCTAATTATTTTGACTAAGCTGTAACATGTGGTTCTCAAAAAGTTAGGAAATGTTAAATGTGAAATTATCACTTCAGCTTAACCTCATCAAATGTGTTATAATTAAATCATGTTTACTGGTTTTAATGTTAAGCTCATGTGTATAGCATACCAAGTGTTCATTTATGGACTTGTACAGCAATGGTAGTAACTTGACACAAATTACTGTTGCTTTGTAAAATTTCAATTCTCTTGTTTAGATCATAGGAACTGATCAACATGCAGGGGTTAGAGACTGATCAGACAATGGACAAGGGTGAAAACCTTTCAAAAGATACAGCTTCAGCACTGATTTGTGCAGGAGATTCATAAAGCAGTTAAATGAATTGCCTGTTGGCTCCAGTTGTGTTTACCAATTAAGATCTCACATAAAAATGATGCGTCTAAAGTGAAATTACTTCAGAGCTTAAGTGCTCAGTTAGATGCAGTTGGCTTTTAAAATGCATCATGTAAAATAGAAAAAAGAGTAATCGGATGCATCCAGTACTGCTATCAGAAATGTCTTTTTTTTTTTAAAAGGACCCTACTGTTACCCAGCAAATGTCATTTTGTAGCTGTTATGGTACTTTGGAGATACAGCAAATACTGCTATGTATCTTAATTTTCTTAACAGTACAATGTCTTTCACTTGGGAACAGAAAGCTCCCCTTTGAATTAAAGGGCTCCTAGCTGAATATTATTTTTACAGTCAATGAAAAACAGTTTCCTTGAAAGCAACACAAGACAGAAGCTGTCACTGTTTCACCAACTGGATACACCCAAAATCAAGATCAGGGCTGGACTGAAGGAATGTCCCACACCCCACCGGATTTTAAAGGTTTGATATCGGACTATGAGTGAAACATTTGCGAATTGTTTTATAATAATTCTAAGTAATTCTGTTACAATAGAAGTTGCTCGAAAGCTGGAAATAATGTAAAATTAATGTGAATGGATTAAATTGTTATTAGTATTAGTGGTGTCAGCAACAATGTGTACTCTCTAACAAGTACAAAAGGGATCAGCATCTTATAAACATGCACCCTGAGGGACATTTTCCACCTTTTGCATTCTGGAACCAAAGAGCTAAAGGCATTGATGAGAGTCGGATTGAGGATACACACAGCTCTCACTGATAAATCAGGAGGCACAGAGGCCACTGGAGAGCAGCACCGTAACAAACTTCAATTCCATCCTTGGCAGAGTGTGTCCAGTTTTGACAATTCACAGTCAGAGCACAAATGATACATATACAGTAAATACACAACCAGTCGTGAAACACTCATTTT